TAGAGTTTTACTACTATTAATGTACTAATAAAATTTTAAATTGTATGTCATATATTTTAAATCTATATATTTATTTAAATGTATATAATAAATTTTAAAATGTTAGATCTAACACAGAAAGAGAAACTGCAAAAGAGCAACTAAAATTAGACTGAAAATATTTGCCTTATTAAAATACTATGAAAAATGCCTTTTATTAATACAAAAGATTATATTGTCTGCAGCTAAAGCAGAGAACTTAAATGAATCTATCTAAATGTACATATAAGTAAAGAAGTGCAGCGTATAAGGCAGCTGTGAAATATTGCGTAAACAAAATATCCAAAAATCATACCAAATGCGGGTAACATAACAATCATAAAAAATGATTAGATTCATAGATCCTGCTTTAAATGTCTGAGTAAGTCAAAATATCAAAATTAAATTAATATATTCTTATAATTATGATTAGTTATCTGCACTGTTTATCTCTTCTTACTTTTCGATAACAGTACTCGTGAGAGAAAAATAAGAAATAAAAGCGATTAACTCAAGAGAAAATCAAATGAATAGGAGACACTTATAAATTTTAGAATATTGAATACTCAAGATGTCGTTATAACACTGAAACGTAGATCGAAGCATGGATAACTCGAAACTGGACAGAAGTTAATAATTTGCTTTTGTGCATATTTTAAAAAGTTTAGATCATACCGAAACCCTCAAAAAGTTCTACACTCGAATGAAATAATACATACCTGCATCTTTATATATATAAGCGTCTAAAGTGTGTGTCGCCGATAGTTTATTGTTGCCAATCGGAAAAATGAGCGCGGAAATTAACGTTTCCGCAGTTTTTAATTAATATTTCGACCGATTAAAGTCGTACGAAGATAAGAACGGTATCGATAGATTCGGAGAATGTTTCGGAATCCGAGGATATGCGTCCCGAATTTCAACTCGGCACCGTTCCGTAGATATTCGAGAAAAAAGAATTTGCACGTAGTCAAATCCCTGTAATAGGGAAAACCTAAGTGGAAAATGAAAAGAAGAAAAAGAAAAAGTGGAAAATGTAAAAAAGAAAGAAAGTGGAAAATGTAGGGAAAACGTAGGGAAAATTTAGTTTTTAATTGATATCCCGGCTAATTAAAGTCCCAAGAAGACGCCAATGGTCAAAATGGAGTGCCACGGACATGCGGAATCCAAACGGTGTACTCCGCTAAGCCCGGGATCAGGCAGCCGTTTCGGAGGAGATACATGCTTACTTCACCCCAATATATATATATATCCGGCTTAAGTGTCTGTTTTCGCCGATAGTTTATTGGTTGCTTGCGTAACTGTACTAGCCAATGGGGTGAAGTTGCCACGGCACAGGGTTGCCGTTTCAATTGAGACGTACACAATTTCCTGAAAAACTTGCCTTTGCTATGACCATCCATAAGTCTCAGGGCCAAACGCTTAAGCGTTTTGGCATTTTTTTACCTGCATTTGGACACGGTCAATTTTATGTTGTCTGTTCAAGAGTTCGGAAGGAACGGACGTAAAATTAAAAATAATGCAAGGCGAGCTTAAAAATGATGGAAAGATCTACACAAGAAATGTTGTGTACAAAGAGATCTTTGACATGGGAATTAACATTTCATTATTTAAATCACCTTTATTGATTGAGCTAGCGGTGAAACTTAAGAACTGTACCGCCAGTGGTTTCTTTCATTGCACTCTTCTTTAAGAAATTAAGCAAGTAGCAGGGGGAAACCCCTTGGGGTAGTAAGCAAATGGGCGTCCTCGCCACCTGCCCTGTGTAATTCAGTTTAAATTAGCAGACACCTTTGCAAAAATCATTTTAATTACAATTTACAATATCTAGAACAGCGGTCATTTGGTATGACCGCCAGGCTTTCTAGTGTATATATAATAGCTTAAAAGCAATTTTAAAAATTCTGCTCAGATACAACAAAGTAGAACTAAAACAAAAATATGTTTACGCATATATGCTACTACATACATGTATATATATATAATAGCTTTTATAAATTCTGTTCATGTACAACAAAGTAGAACTAAAAAAAAAATTGTTCAGAACAGTGTAAATAGTCGATGCATAAAATAGCTAAAGGTGAAAGAAATTTTTAAATTGAATAATTTTGTGGAAATATAAAAGCTGAGATAAAAAAAAAACATTTAAATGAAGACAAAGAAGAGTAAAAATGAATGTTGATTTATTTTAATATATATATAATTCAAAAATAAAATAAAAGCAATTTACCATTGGTAAATTCAAAAATTCATATAATAATAAAAATAGGACAGTAATGAATAACGAAAATCCTGTAAGCTATAAAATTTGAAAAATCCAGTAATAAAAGGATCAAAAAAAATTTATTTGAAACTGAAAATGAAAAATACATTAAATATAAATGAGAAGATGATGACAGATGCTAATATGAGCAAAATTCAAAAAGGGTTGCACCGACGTGTCTCAGCTAGGGGCAGATTTACTGTTCGCAGAACGCTTCCTGCATATGTGATACAGAAACAAAATATTAAACTTTTATGAAAATAGATATATATATTCAATATGACTCTGAAAGTAAAAAAACAAGAAAGCATTTAATAAAATGACTTTTCTTTATCCTGAGTTTTTCATACAAATAATGCATTTGTGTGAACATATGAATGAAAATAAAAACATGAAAAATTAAAGGAAAATTACTAAACAATTGCAGTTGTTTTAAAGCCAGAAGCATAGAGCCAGTACCACATATCAACAAATAAATCAAAAGTGCAATTTTCCCGCAATGTAAATCAACACAAAATCTGAAAAAAACGTAACTTATTTGAAAGTTAATCAGAAAGAAAACATGAATCATATAGGCCTAGAAAAAGTTTTAAACGTGTTTGTTTTAGGTTTTCTTTTATGGGTCAAATATATATTCAGTAATCTAAATTTTACTATTTAGCATTTTTCCTGTTTAAAATAGTATTTTTATACAGCTTCCTTTTATTGAAATTAAAATGCGAATTACCTAAAATACTGACTCAAATTGCATTCAAATAATTCATCGCATTAATTAAATTTATGTTCCTTGAAGATGAGGAGATGATTTATAAAAACACTTCTCTAACAATAAATAATATATATGCATATATCTATACATTAATGGTTACTTGCGTTTCTAGTTGTTAGAGCCAAATCTATGCCAGGGATATTTAAAATGAGTAGCTTGTCCTCATGTAAACACTGAAAGGGGACGTAAAATTAAATTGCAACTTCAAACATAAAAATGTATTCAGACATACGTAGATTCGAGATTTGTCTCAGGAGTAAATAATATGTAATTATGTTTCGGTATACAAGCAAACAATGTAAAGGAATCAGACCGTTATTTACATAAACAAATATATGATCAATCATTTCCATTCCTAAATTGTAAATCAATCGCATTAATAATTTGCTTATCTCTTCAATTAAGAAGATCTGTGATAAATAACAAAACCTAAGAAATTAAATGAAATCTTAAAAGGAAAATAAATTGGAGTCCAGCAAGTATTCCAAATAGAAAAATGTTTTAATCCCAAATCTTTAATTTTTTGCCCTTTGCAGTACTGTTGTACATTTTTTCATTTACTTTGTTAGTGCTATAACTAACTTCTGTAAGCCCCCCCCGTAGTACACTTTGTAGAATACGAGGAGTTAACAAAAACTATTCTAAGAAAGGTATCTATAATACCGAAAGAGGAAATTCAGTACAAGAAAGTTCTAATTTGCAGACAAATTCGAGATTTGCTTTATGGTATTCTCCACGGCAGCCGGACTAGAGTCATAGGCTACATGTGAAAGACATATTGTTTAGAAACTTCTATGATGGCGAGTAAACGTATCACTGGAAATTCACAAAAACCTTTTTAATGCCAAATCAAACTTTTAACAAAGAGGAAAAACACGTTGCAAACATTATTTCTATTCTCAAAGTGAACTTTAAAATTTAAATGCCAAACTTTCACGTTTGGTCTTTGTTAGCTCGCAATTTTGTTTTACGCTTGCTATGAATCTTACAGCACGAAGTGAAAGAACATGCTTTAAAGCTAAGAATTTTGTCAGAAACTTTAAAATTTGAATTTTTCAAAATTACCTCACCATAAGGTACTGTAAACGAATATCGAAAAATTCCAATGCAGGCTACTACATAAAATTTCCCATTGATTAAGTATTAAACGTTACGACATTTTTACATTTTGAAAAATCTCTGTTAGTTGGTCATGAATTAAAAGGCCACCTGAAACTAATATAGTAAAGAATTGTTAAAAATATTCATTGCTAAGAATAAGTTTAAGACCTTACGTCATGAAACTCATGCATTAGAATTAAAAATTCAGGATGTACAACCAACGTAAAATTATTCCTGCTGTTTGTTGAACTGTTACATTTCGTTTTTAACTGTTACGTTATGTTACGTTCCGAAGCCCTGCAGAAAAGCAGAAGCCCGTTCTACTTTTCTGCAGATCGCTTCCTCCCCCCCCCCACACACACATACAAATACACACTTTCGGAAATAAGTACATGTAATATTTAGTTTTGTAAATAAATAGATTGTTGCATTAAGATTAATGTTCACAAATGTGAAATTTATATTAACATATCATTAAAAGTTACTATTCATCAGCATCAGCACATGTTATCTACATTACTTACATTATTTAAGAGCCTGTAATTTCAGCAATGATAACTGCTAGGTATAAATGCGGGTGAAACTTAATATTTCTCCTTTACCTTAAAAATTTATTTTATATAATGACCATAAATTTGAATTTGCTTTATACCTGAAAATAGAAACTAATTTTTCTTGGCGTATTTGTTTTCATCACACTAGACAGTCTCAAAGAACTTGATATATTCATTTAAAAACTTTAAAAACAATTATTTTCATAAATGCACATTTGTAATAATAATGCTTTTATAAGATATATATACAATTTCCCTATCTTATGCTTTCTGTTAGTGAAAAAATTAAAATTCTTACCTGGATTTATCTTGTTTTCCAACCAGTTACGGGTAGGGCGGAGTTTTATTAGTTCATCAGTCAGTTAGCCAGTCAGTAATGCCTTGTCACGTCATTTGATCAACAGAATGTCACGTGACTAATATGATCTACCTCTGGCAACGTCAACAAATCTTCCTCTCTCTTCTCTTTGTTCAAATAGTAGCAAAACCAATTTGATCGCTTACGACGTTTGCTAAACTAACCTTTTACTGCACTAATAAGCTTCTGTCATGCACTGCAAAATGATGTTTTTGCTGAACTTCATTAAAAACTGACCAAAAATGTGCTTTCCAGTGCATAATTTTGCGATAAATCTACGCAGCATAGGATGAAAATCCTACCTATCAACAATGCTGAAAAGCGGTGTACGCAGAGCTTCTCCTGGAGAAGGTTAGAGGGCGCTTCTGCCACGCGAGTCACATGAGCTGAGAGGTTTCCTTAAAAGCTTTTATTATTCTTTATTTTGCGCTTAGTCATCCGCAAAAGAATAAAAACGTAAGTTCGCCTACGAAATGAATTTATTCTTAATACCTTCGGCAGAATAAAGCGAAAGGATAAAGTCGGTCTCCAACGCATTTTCATAAATTAATCAAGATGAAGTTTGTAAATAACTTGAAAGTAACAGTAATAAAAGGGAAATGTTAATTAAAACACCCAAATTAAATATGTAACTTTTTTCTTTCGCTGCATGGACACATATAACATATCCTATGCATACATGCATAATACATAAGCATAAAACATTTCCAAAATTATTTTGCTATTTGCTGTTATAAAAGAAGGGGTGTTTTAATCCAATAATGTAATGCTTAATAATAAAAATCGATTCTTGTTAAGTAATACTAAAGATTCAGTTAAAGTCTGAAGCTGCTCAAAATATTCAATCACACTGTCAATCACACACTTGAATCATTTTCTTGTAGTATGCCAGTCTCTTTCAAACGCTACAGAAGAACAATTTTTAATGTGTTGTGCTATATCGGTGTGATAGATTTTTGTGTTAGAGAGAATGCATCACAAGAAGACTTATCACTTTATAATAATTTATAATAAGAAAACTTTCCATATCCATCTCGAAGGAACACAAGTTAAATTTAAAAACATCAATGAAACAATTTTTAGAATTTAAATTAGTATTTTAAATAATTTCAACTTCTTGTTTAAGAATCTGCTAACAAAAATCTTTAACCATAAAAATACCAAAACCAAAAGTAAATTTGAAATATTAAAAATGTAGCTACTGTCATTGATCGCAGATTAATTGACTTATCAAGAGGATAAACCAATCTACAATCAATTAACAACAACTAAATGAGAGAGGGTTTCATCTTGTTTCATCTTACTTCCAAGTAAGCATCCAATTATTTGCTAGATTCAAACCATAAAACACAATTAATACAGACACTCAATCCAAATACAGACATTAGTCCATTTAAGCCAATAGAATCTTGTAAAACAAAATAGCAAATAATCTTAAAATTAAAGTTATAAGTAAAAACACAATTAATCTAAACGAGATACTTACTTTAGAAGACATATCCCCTACATTCGCATTTTCAAATTCAACAGAAGTAAATATATTAGAATATTAAAAGTTGATTCAAAATCATAAGAAGATCAAAAACGACACAATCTTAAAATTAAAGTTCAAAACAAGTACTTAATTAGAAATTTAAAGATCAAACTAGTAAGTTGAAATTAACAAACTTGCCTTTAAAAAATTTTTAAAACCAAATGGCTGGAAATTTAAGCATTAAGTGATGGAAGTAAAAGGGTTGTTGTAAAGTGCAGTTTTCTATTTAAGAAAGTTTAGCCTAAATTGGCGAGAAAATTGGAATTCTTCTTGGAGATAATACATAGAGAGTAGGCTGTTACTAAAATAGCTCTATAAGCTGCTATTAGTTACCAATTAAAAATAAAGTAATTAAAAGCAAATTAAAAAGCCTATGACTATGACTTATGATATGAAAAGTTTTCTTATTATAAATTATTTGTTTACTAATTTGCAGTTTTAGCGCAAGTCATAGACGTTTTAATTTACTTTTAATTACTTTATCACTTTATAAGGTATTTTATCCTTCCTTTCTGCATCCTTCATGGTGCAACGGTCTAGCATCAAAATAACCTAATGTTTATACAGTGGCACCCGAACCAAAAAGGTGGTGGATGTTGATTCTTCGTCACCAAGATTTCACGATTGGGTCCCTAATGCCCAGTTACCCTTTAAAAGTGGGAGTATATAACGTATTTCCTCCTTACTTTCTGTATTCTTTCGTGGTGTGACGGTAACAGACTCAGCGGGTATTAGAGAGGTCCAGGTTCGACTCCCGGCGAGGGCACTGCTCATTTTTCACGTCTCCAGCATCAAAACAACCTAATAATGTCTTTACAACTTGACACTTTATTTATACAAATATTTTTTCATGCTTACTTCACTTTGTTATTAATTATTGCATTCTTGCATATTTTGTACAGTTAATTTGAATTCATGCATTGTTAGGATTGATGTTATGTAGATATTAAAATTCTCCTTTTGTATCCTTTATATCCGTTTATTTGAATTCATTTCATATTCTTTTTATTTTTACTACTAATTAATCACTTTAGTAAGAACAAAATGTGGATCTCAAAATTTTTCTAATTTAGTAACAACTCTCGTCAGAAGCACATTTTACAGAATATCGCATCTTTTGATAACTTTGAACGTATTTTCATATTTTGATAGAAAATATCTGAGCAGAAGTAAAACTATTGTTACGAATTTGGTATTTAAAAAGCTAATGTTAGTTTAATTATAAATTAAATGGTTTTATTTCTCGCGCAGTGCAGCGCGTGACGAATATTAAAAGAAAGCTAAGCCGGAAAATTGAAAATACAAGAGCGCGTGCATTAAATAAATAAATATCTCTTTTTGATTTCGAGAAAGTACTGGAAAATTCTAGCGCGTGATTTTAAAATCTTATAAAAGGAGGAAAACATCTCAGTTTGTAGTTGTTGCTTAGTTTGTTGTTGTTTAGAAAACTGCTGTTGTTGATTATAGCGAATTCGCGGATTAGCGTTCTTTAGCTGTTTTGAATTACGTTCTATTGTACATTTGAGTAGTTAAAAGATAACTACTGTGAGATATTGTAATACTGCATGATAATTTGAGAAAATGTAAACATTTTTGTTGTGATAATAAATTTTTGTTCATTTTTCATCGGACTTGTGCATTCATTTCATAATGAACCCGTACGCACGCAACAATTTTTGGTGTCAGGAGTGGGGTTTGAATCCCAATAACAAGAGCGATGGAAGAGCAATTAAGGCATTTAATATCAGCCTTTGCCTCATTTAAAGAAGAAATGAAATTGGGCCAGGAATCCGTTAAGGACGAAATGAAAGCCGTTCAAGCTGGTCATGAAGAAATGAAAAGAGAAATTACCTGCGTAATAGAAAATAAATTTGAAGGCTATGGAAGGCAGAATAGACACGTTGAAAATAAAGTTGGACAAATTGAAGAAAAGTTTCTTCTGTAAAAGATCAAATTGAAGAAAGAGTTTCTTCGGTGAAAGAAGAAATAGAAGAAAGAGTTTCTTCTGTAAAAGAACATATAGAAGGAAGAGTTTCTGCCGTCCAACAACAAATCGAACAACAAATTGATGATAGGGTTTCTGCTGCCGTCGCCAAAGAAGTTGGACAGCCTTAAAGAAATTCGTAGCGACGGTAGGAAACAATTCTGATGGTTTTAAATTTTTACCGATGCCTGCTCGTTCCCTCTCTGAAGTACTATCCATATGATGGGAAGACCTCCTGGCAAGGTGTATAAGACACAATTTTCTATCGTGGCGGATGCGAATGGATGGGATTCCCAAGCTAAGGCCTGTCATCTCGCCGCTTCTCTGAGAGCAGACGCAGCGGATATCCTGCAGACGCTTCCCGAAAACCAAAGGCTAGACTTTCGAAGCTCTATCCGGCGCTTTGGAGCTGCGCTTCGGCGAGAAATGTTTAAAAGACTACAGCAGGCTTCAATTAAAATCCCCGTCAACAGAAGCCCACCGAAACACTTCCAGGAACTCGCCACGGATGTTGAAAGGCTGTCTCACGCCTTTTCGGAGTGCCCGACAGAAACGAGGGAAATCCTGTCCCTGCAATATTTCATCGATGGCATCCGGGATCCCTGAAATACAGAAAGCTCTACGAATGGCAGGATGTTGTAAAGGATGTAAAAAAAAAGCGCTCTGTTGTACGCCATGAAATTCGAGGCAGCCCAGCAAGCAACTAGTAGAGATCGCTACCCAGTCAGAGCTGTGCGAGTCCACGAGCCAGTGGATCAACTGATGGCTCGTTTAGATGATTTATCCAGACAAGTCGATGCTTTGATACGGAGTAGCAGTGAGAACAAAGTGGCTGTAAGATGTTGGAGATGTGGTTCTGAAGGTCACCTACGACGGCATTGCAGAACACCCCAGGGCACGGATAATAAAACGGATGAGTTGACAAGACCAGTGAATGCTTTAAGACGGAATAGTGGTGAAACGAAACCGACCCTAAAGTGCTGGAACTGCGGAGCTGAAGGCCACGTACGAAAGAATTGCAGAACACCCCAGGGTACGAAAATTGAGACAATTTCTGAGCAACGACGCAGGAAACAAATTAATGACCATATCAAGGAACGGAGGTTGCCAGATAATGAGAAACCCTGTTTTAAAGCGCTTAAGATCTCTATAATGAGTGGCAACAATAACGGACTGTCCATCAATGGGAATATCGATGGAGTTCCTTGCAATATGATCATTGACACAGGAGCTAATGTTACCATCATTAGGAAAGATTTAGCTGAACAGTTTAAAGATAAACTTATTTGGACGCCATCCTGTGTTACCCTTCAGACTGCTGCGTCTGGTGACAAGATCGACATAACTGGGAAGTTAAACGTAAACATCACGTTTGGAAGTGCCGCCTACCATCACACACACGGCATATGTGGCGGATATTACAGATCCATGCATACTCGGATTGGACTTTTTAAGGAAATACAATTTTTCCTTAGACTTTCAAAAACAACAAGCTGCTTTCAGCATCTGATGGCATGACTATCCATCCTCAAAAGGGATCCTCGCCTGGAAATGTCCGACGCCTTGTCCGAAAAGATCCAGCTCGGGAAGCTGCCGAAATCATACCAGGGTCGAAAAGAAACGCAAGACTACCAGCTATTCTCCATCCAGAAGCTCTTCGGTCGAGACCTTCGTCTGCCTTGTGACCGCCTGTTTAGTCGCCCTACGGATGCGCCTTCATCGCCTGAGGAACACATCCAAGATGCCCAAGGCCCGGTTTTGAAGGGATGC